TTCTCTAAATTAAATATTATATATTTTAATGCGTCAAATGAAACGATCACATTAATTTTTCTTCAATTATGAAAAAGTCAGAGATCCTTCCCAAGTAGAATAGAAAAAGAAAAGAAATAGGTGAAGAAATTGGTAGCAGAGAAATATGAACGTGTACCTAAATTAATGTTCATTTCTCGAAAAGAGGCGGAGCAAAAAACCACGTGACCGGCCAACATATTTGGCTCAGACTATAGCAGCCTCCTCTAGCAATAAAAAAGTTAGAGATCCTTCTCAAGTAGAATTGAAAAAAAAAAAAATAGGTGAAGAAATTGGTGGCAGAGAAATATGAACGTGTACCTAAATTAATGTTCATTTCTCGAAAAGAGGCGGAGCAAAAAACCACGTGACCGGCCAACATATTTGGCTCAGACTGTAGCAGCCTCCTCTAGCATTAATTCCTCGTAAATATAGATACAAACAGCTTTAAAACGCGGCGTGGCGTACGGTTTCCTGAAGAAAACTGGCGACCACTACATTCTGCCTATGAGTGACGACCTGAAATGCCAAGAGATCGCCGAGCAGGAGGTGAATCTGTTGGACGTTTGTCGGAAGAATAAGATTCAGCGAAAGCTGGGCTGCAAGTGCAAGAAGAAGCGACGAAAGCGTAGGAAACGGAAGAGGAGGTTCTGCAGGTGCAAGAAAAAGACGATGCGGAGGAGGAGACGAAAGCGAAGCAGAGGTTGCGGAAGAAGGCGGAGGAGGAGGAGGAGGAAGAGGAAGTGCAAATGTGGCGGTTTGGGAAGCAGGCGGGACAGAAATCGGGGGAAAAGGTGTGGGCCTGATAGATTGCAGCCACGTGAAAGATATTCCAAAGAGAGATATTTGGGACCAGCATACGAGGCCTACGATTCCGCAGCTAGCCAGAGGAGCTCTGTATCCACAATTTCTTCGATGACGGACTAGAAACGTGCGTTGGTATTACCGGTATCGAACGTTTCAATATCATAAGAAGGAGAATCAAATCGGCTTGTATATATATCTTAATAAATTAACGTTTTCTTTGCAGCAACGTAGGAAGGCATTAAGAAACCTATGAAAGGCGAACTTGACATGGCCTCAAGTATCATCACAGAAGACTAAAAATCTCCGGAAGACTGTTCATTTTTATAAACATTTATATGGTCCTATATTTATATAACTCCCGTGTATTCAATATTTCGTTTTATTTTTACTTTAGACTATTCCTTTTTGTGCAACATACAAATTTCGTACAAGTTCAATCCTCTGTTAACGCGTCGTAGTCCGAGTCCTCAAGTATCTTTCGTCCCCACACATTGGAAAAAACAGTATCCAGCGTCTCGACTTTTTGTAGCTTCAATATACGCTTAAAAACATATTAAACGATACATAATGTGGTAAAATAAATTTGTTATTAAAAAACAGAGGAAAACTTAATCAGTACAGAAATAAACTGATGCGGCACAAAATATTACAATGTTTATTTCGCGTCGCTCTCTCCCGATAAACTAATGTCCGGAGAGTTCCACTGAAGTCGTGTGATAATTGTAGCGTGTGCTTTGAAAGCTAAACAAGTTCTTTTTGGAGTGTCTATGTTCGCTCTTTTATCAACTAGATGTGTTTTTTTTCATTGCTGGTTCCAATGTGTAGGAGGTGGTGGAAGTGTGTGGTGATTGGTTTTTCGGGATGCTTGAGGAGTGTCTGTCTGATGGTGTGGAAATTGTTGTTACACAGATTTGTTATATTGCTGTGTACATAGGATTACTGATGTCGAGGGTCTGTTTTATGGTCTTGACGCATGTGGTGTCCGTGTATCGAGTCTTCGAAATTTTTGCTGTAATAAAGCAATTGACGGGCCATACCGGCTAAAACTTCCCTTTTCAAATACTGTTTCTATGGAAAAGGCCGATGTACGGAGAAGGAAACAGATAACTTTGCGTTCAAATATAAAAAATTTCGCGATTCTTTAATTTTCTCACCGAGTATATTTCTCCTTTCCTTTTCTTTCTAACCTAAAAATATGTCACGATTCTTTGATTCGCGTATTCGACGAAGTGACTAAAGGAATAGTTAAAAGAAGAACTTTATCGAATTATCGTAAGTTATCGAAGTTCGTAAGTAGTAACGAGATTCACCGAACTCTACGTTAAATTCAATATTTCCAAATTGATCAGGTTTCTTTCGAAATTGTACCGATCAAAGCGATTCCTCCTCTGTTTAATTTTCGCAACCGTTGATTTCTTAGCAGATAGCGTAACGCTATTACGTTTCGGTTTGACTTTATCCCGAATTTACATATAAATTCATCTCTTGCCCGTCGCGGCAGCCGAAATTGTTTCGCGCAACAACGACACATTCGGTTTCGTTTTTATCGCGAAAAATCACGCGAACGATATACATATTCTGCGGTTGCTTCCCTTTTCCAATTTCGATATGATGTTTCACAGTATTTTACAATTCGTCTGTCCGTTGTTCGTCACGAGGTGTCCTTCGTTTTAAGATTAATTAAATGTACCAGAATGGCCGGTGTCGATGTCGAATCGCGTAAATTGCGAAAAGAGGAGAAAAAGGAAACAAGAGGGACATAATCACCAACGGACCACGGCGGGAAAAGGGCATTCTAATTGACGTCGTTTGACTAAGTCTCGTTCGTAATCCTCTTACATTAACCGTGGATCGCGGATAATTGTATTAATTACAACCGTTAATTACGGTAACGAAAAACTATCGTGATACTAATGGATACGAATTCTCGTAGAAAGGGAGATATACCGGCGGCAGAATCTTTTATTTCCCAGGCCCGTTTCTTCCGAGCTTTGTATTTCCCGCTGCTTTGCACCACGAACGGATAAAATTATTTTCATGGGAAATTCTACTTTTATTTATACATTTTGATCGTTCATTAAAATTTCCATCGTTCTTTCTTTATTCTTATGGACAGTTAAGAATAATTTGAGTTCAAGAGGAATTCTGATATTAATTTGTTGAATGTGTGTGAATATCTATTTTTGAGGTTAAGCAGGAGATTTAAACGCGTGGAATAATCGTAGAAGTGAGTCAAATTTTTTATTGATAGTTACTTTTGGAGAAAGTTGTATCGAATACTGTGTAAAATGAAGTTATCCCAAATTACCTGGACATTTATTTAAAAAAAGAGATTTCAATACGAGTATAAATTAAATAACTTGCAACGTTCTACATAGCCCACCTTGTATATTAAAAAGAAAACTACGACCGAAGCAGTAGCTGTGAAAATACGGCTGTTATTTCAGCGGGTATGAAAAAACCTCTCGAGGAAATAAAATTAATTATGTCTGCAGATACAGGCAGATACAGCCACGGAAAATTAACTTGCTATGAAATACAATTCTGCATAAGGTTACCGAGCCACTTGAAATTTATATCAAGCACGTTAATTAAGCGTTAAGTTCGATAAATGCGGGATTCCGTCTTGGAAAAACGAGGACTGGTTTCCGCGATTATTTCTACACTTTTTTCCTTCTTCCCTCTGCGCAGCCGTTCGCAATATCATTAAAAAAGTTAGATAAGTTACTATCGATCTCAATGTAATTATTCGCTATTTACGAGACCAGCCTGTTATGTGAAAATTATATTTGGTTCTCGTGCAACGCCGGTTGGCTCCCTGCAGACAAATGTCCTTGACATTTATTTAAAAAAAAGAAAAAAAAAATAGAAAAAAAAACAAGAAACGGGAAAAAAGAAAGAGGGAAGCGGGAGAAGAAAAACCGAGCGACGCTTTTAATTTCTTCCTTCGAGTATTCATCGAACTTCTACCGAATGTCAGCTGCTGTAAATTAGTTTTTAATTGCGAACCAGCCACTTCGAAAAGTTCACCGGTTCTCGTATGTGAGTTCCACTTACGCCTGTAGAATTACAAATTCAGAAATGATTAGACGAGGCCTGATCACGTATACCTACAAGGTATTCGGAGAGTTTCGGGCAAAATTGAAATATGAATAGCGTTCAAGAAGTGAAGTATCAATGTCAACATTTATATTGTTGTGACTTTTGAAAATTTAACAATGATTTCTCGCATTGCCCATCTATGAGGTGTTTTTGAATATGTAAAAATTTAAATGTAGGGGTAGTACTTCGAGATTGAATTTCTTGATTCCGTGTACAAGGTGTTCCGAGAGTACAAAAGGTGTAATATTATAAAGGTGTAACGTTTATACTCTTTTGATTTTTGAAAATTTAATAATGATTTTTCACGTTGCTCATCTGGTAGAGAATTCTTGAATATACACAATCTATTTAGCGTTGTATAATTTCAACGGAGAATGTAGTAAATGAATAATATATACACTATTTGATTTAGGAACATAACGTTTACTATTAGTACGTAGAAAAATGATCTACTTTCGTTTGTTGACAATTAAACTAAGGAAAAAGAATAAGTGGAGAATCAGCAAAGTGTCTACACACAAGGCTGCGAAAGCAAAAACAAGTTAATTTCTTGTCTATAAATAAGTGGAAAGGACGTTTCTCAAAATATTTTTTCCACAATGGAAAGTATTTGTTTATACTTAGATTTATTTCTTTAATTATTAATAAACGAATGTAAACAATTTCTCTTTGTACCAATAGTAAATATGACGTTTCTAAATAAAATAGCATAAATTTTATTCATTTACTACTTTCTCTGTTAAAATTATGTCACACAAAATAAATGCTAATATTTTTTTACTGAGTGCACTATATAAGTTTAAATGTAGGAACAGTTTTTCAAGATTGAATTTCTTCATTCAAGGAAGAAAATCATTTCTCTTCAACTTTTAAAGTAGATATTTTATGGATTTTTGTGACTTACACGACAAAAGACAATTATCACATATGAGATATTCATGGTAACGATTATACTTCATAATTTATAAGATTTGATATTTCTTCAAATTGAAATATGAAAGAACACACCTGTTCGAACGATGTGCATAATTAATTTACAATTTATTATTAGCACCAATTTTATGAAGAGTTTCGTAAATGCATCAATTGCTGCATCCATCTATTTGGTACTAATGGAATAATATACTAGGTGCGCCAATAGAATGAGACGATTTTCAGAGTTGTAGTGGAATACTCAGGTGAAATAAAAAGAAATTCTTGTATAATGCACTTTATTAATTATTCATTTATCGTTCGAAAATAACATTTTTCAAGTGAACTTCTTGACAGTGAATAAATTTTTGCAATCGGGTCGGAAAATTCTTCATTACTCGTCGCAATTGACCGGTATTGATTGCTTGAATTTCACGATTTATGTTTTGTTATAACTCTACAATGAAGCGTGGTTTGTTCATAAAACATCGATATGAAAAATGTTATATTCAAGAAATTATCGATAATTGATATATTGCATCGTACAATTACTGTTTGAACAAAAGTACTTCGTTTAAATTTAACCTGAGTATCTTACAATAGGTCTGTGAAAATCGTCACATTCTATTGTCGCACCCATTACGTTGTACGCATCGAATCGATTCAAACACTCGACTACGAATCGAACTTAATCCTCTTACTAGTATCAAACAACACTATGTCTGCTTTACTAAATTAAACAGTGAACCTGAGTAACAATAATGAGCACCAAAAGCTATTAAATTATAGCCGTTCAATTATACAGAAACAATTACAGTAAATTCTCTACAAGAGTCAGTAAGTTTGGATTCTACAAGTGACAGTATAGATGGTACTACGCCTAGGTCTGCGTCATTGCTGCGCCCATGTTATCTCGCTCGCAGTCGGAGATTTCACGGCTCGACAAATCATAATAGAAAAATATAATTTCTTTAATTTTACTTTTTTTCATTTGGAATTTTTTTTAACATGTTGCTGAGATTTTTCTGATGAAAATAATATCAAACACGATATAATTTGAACAACATTTACTTATTAACACGTTCACTGTCGCGCCAGATTTACAGGTTGCTGTCAGGCGGCCACAAGAAAATACATTTTAAGCATAGGATTATAGTATTATGCTTTATAATTTTTTTTTTTCAATTGAAAATAATGTCTAGCTAGCTATGACGTTCAAAATTTTTAGTTGACAACATTTATTTTATTTTAATTATTCTAAACATTTGAGGCACTCCAGTCACTGATGACCACCATGGCCATATCGAGGAAACAATCTAATGTTAATACTTATTGAGTGATTAATTTAATTTCATAATATATCGCTTTAGCGAGCCACCGTTTGGTTGCCAATTGCTTATCACGTAGAGTCGGCCTACCTCCACGTAAAAACAAAAAATGTAGGGTCGATTCCACAAGTGTCAGTAAAATGTAGTAACAGCTCCATTTATTTCAGTTATATTCAGAATGGAAGAAACTGCGAATTTATATTATTTTCAATATTATTATTGAACTAAACTTTCGCAGAACGCAAGTGAAAAATTGAAAGAATCAAAAGAAAAAACGCGAATTCGTATCTTTTTCGATTCTAGAATATAAGAAAATTTGAATAAAATACGCGACGAGAATTGGGGAGAAGCATAAGTTAAACGCGTAAAAATATTCAATAATAAACGAACTAGGGATGAAGCTATTATTTCAATACGCGATGCACTGACTCTAGTATTTACTAAAATTCAAAAATTCTCGTATAAATTCCGAAAATAGATTATTAATTACGGTAAACTACTGAGACGGTTTAATTAAGGGTGGGCATGGTGCTGCTTTAGTTTGAAATGATTTATAAACACATAATTAACAGAGGAAAAACCGTGAAACGGCAAAACGTCAACATTCTAATTGTTATAACATGTAAACAAAACTTTAAATTTAGTGTAAACAGAAAAAATATATAATACAATTTATTTCACGGTATTGCAACAAATAAACGTTGAATAAATATTTAATTCGTATAAAAACAATTATTTAACGTAATAATTTTACCTTCACTATGGCTATTTTTAATCTACGACCACAGGTCAACCTGATTTCTAATCCTTACGAACTTTAAATTCAGTCTAAACTGAGAAAATATATAATACAATTTATTTCACGGTATTGCAACAAACAAACGTTGAATAGATTCTTAATTCGTATAGAAACATTTATTTAAAATAATAATTTCACCTTCACTATGGCTATTTTAAATTTACGACCAAGGGTCAACCTGATTTTTAATCCTCCGAACTTGATTTCACAACGAGAAAGTAATAAGATCGTTGAAACGTACTTATTTGTCAAAGAAACTTGCAAAAATGTATAAATAATAATATGTAATGTTTTAACAAATTTTTGGAAGTATAAATTAATAATAAAATTGTGAAAATTAATAAATTATACGTTATTATAACATTAATAGAATTATGACTAAACCGAAGTTCGAAGTCGAGTATTTAAAGTCTGATATTACGTGCCTAGCGAGTGCCGGTAATTGTTAAAATTTGTTTAATAATTAGTAATAGAAATTCTAATTGATTCTAATGTATACAAGTGTTACAAGAAGGCTGAGTGTGTACAGGGTGGACATAGACTAGCTAGTAGCCCCCGACCACTCTATTCACATCTCAGAACCTTCAGGTCAAAATACGCCGCGAAGTGTCTAGGGCCCAGTATAAAGGGTAAATGATTTCGCGGGACATCGGCGGGTCCTTATATACCTGCGGTACCCTCTCCCCAAAGTCATTAGCAAAATCGTCGGTTAGGTCAGGCGGGAAATTTTCGCGGGAGATTTTCGCGGGAGATTTCCGATATCGTAACACGGTATAATTTATCAATTTTCACAATTTTATTAAAAATTTATACTTCCGACAATTTGTTATAACATTGCATATAACAATTTATACGTTTTTACAATATTCTTCAATGGAAACATAGGTTTTAGCGTTCTCGTTACTTACTCGTGGTTAAATTAATTTCGTAGGGATTAAAAATCAGGTTGACCTGTGGTCGTAGATTAAAAATAACCATAGTACAGCTAAATTTATCGTGTTAAATAATTCTTCTTACACGAATGAAAAATGTATTCAACGTTTGCTTGTTACAATACCATGAAATAAATTATATTACACATTTTCTCTATTCACACTGAATTTAAAGATTATAACGATTAAAAATCAAGTTGACCTGTGGTCATTTATCAAGAATAATCATAATAAAGCTGAAATTATTGTGTTAAATAATTTTTTTAATACGAATTAGGAATTTATTCAACGTTTGCTTGTTACAATACCATGAAATAAATTATATTATACGTTTTCTATATTTACACTAAATTTATCGTTCTATTCTAACAAGCAAACGTTGAATAAATTCCTAATTCGTATTAAAAAAATTATTTAACACAATAATTTCAGCTTTATTATGATTATTCTTGATAAATGACCACAGGTCAACTTGATTTTTAATCGTTATAATCTTTAAATTCAGTGTGAATAGAGAAAATGTGTAATATAATTCATTTCACGACACTAAAACAAACAAACGTTGAATACATACAAATGTAACGATAGAAATTATTGCAATAATGCGTAATGCAATTGAAAAATTGAAAGAATCAAAAGAAAAAACGCGAATTC